AAATGTTTCCAGGTGAAAGATCAGTGTGTGTATTTGTGTGTATGCATGCATGCATGTGTGTGTATAATGAATATTTTTTTTAATAAAAAGTCACACATATATCAGAATGCTAGAATTTTTCTACAAATATCAGTATAATAGTTAGGCATATGGTAAATGGTTATAGAAAAGTCAAACAGAATATTATATCATCAAATATTTTAGCATTCCTATTTAAGATATTTTATGTTGCTTTTCTAGACTAAAATAAAGTTAGTGTATGTTTAACGTTCTAGACTAGAGTCCTAGGGTTAAACCTGTCTTTAACCATGAAAGTTCACTTGGTGACTTTTGGCCAGTCACTATCTCTTAGCCCAATTTGTTTCACAGTGTGGTTCCAGCAAAAATTGAATATCCTAATACCTTAACTTTGAGCTCACAAAGAAAGGGCATGATAAGATTCTCATAAATAAATAAACAATAAATATTCTTCCAAAGTAATCTACAATGCAATATCAAATCCAGAATATTAAAAATATTTTAAAATGGTCTAAAGATCTAAAACAAATAGAACCTTATACTTAACGATATTACAAAATACATTTAACAGTTAAAAGAAGAATTAAAAATGACCAAGTGAATTTTTCTCATTAAAGTAGTTTGAATGCTATCTCTAAGATTTACCCCAAAAAGAAAAAAACCCAGTAATCTCAGGACAGCGAGTTCCACAAATAAGCAAACACCACGGGAAACTGGTTTTATTTATTTATATATTCATTCTGTTTATTCTAGCTGTCTCAATGGCATATCTATAAACAAGGTCCCCATGAGTCAGTCCAATATATTTAACCAATTGTTTTAATTTTCAGAATCTGCATGCTCCATTGGCTCTGTTTCAAGTGTTGAGAATGTATTTTGGTGGATATTTAGTTTTATCTTTTCAGAAATAAAACACTTGAATGTCCTAAGCTAAGTTACACTTACATGTAACACTAATAACAGGCAAAAATATTTTGACTGTATGTACTGAATACAAATTACTGGCATTTTTTATCTCATACCATTTTGATCCCATGTGCCCCAAATGAATTTTCTTTGTTTTTCTAATATTTATATAAACCAGGGGTGTCAAACTCAAGGCCCATGGCCTACATCTGGCCCATGGGGCCGGTCTGGAAAAAGCAAGGGACTGGCTCGCGGTGCCTTTGTTAGCAAAAATAGGGTGTGGGATGGGAACGGGCAACCCCCCCCCCCAACCGCTTTTGGCCTTTGGAGTTCTCCAGGAGGCCTTCCAGACCCAAAATGGGGCTTCTGGGATGCTCCAAGAGGCCTTCCAGGTCCAAAACAGGGCCTCCGGAGTGCTCCAGGAGGCCATCCTTGACTCAGAAGGTTATAAAAGGGAAGAAAAGTAAAATATTTTACTTCTCAGGCTTGCAGAATTCTGCTACTATAGTGTATGTTAATAATTTATAGTTCTAGTCATCCTAGGAAATCACTTTCTTGATCGGAGAGCCGAGGTGGCGCAGTGGTTAAATGCAGCACTGCAGGCTACTTCAGCTGACTGCAGTTCTGCAGTTCGGCTGTTCAAATCTCACCGGCTCAGGGTTGACTCAGCCTTCCATCCTTCCGAGGTGGGTAAAATGAGGACCCGGATTGTTGGGGGCAATATGCTGACTCTGTAAACCGCTTAGAGAGGGCTGAAAGCCCTATGAAGCGGTATATAAGTCTAACTGCTATAACTGCTATCTGGTCTCTCTCAAAAGGTGATCAAGTAGATCAAGTAAGTATTTAAAAAAAATCACAGAAATGTACATTTCCCTATTTTTATAAGTTTATAATACCATGTCTGCAGAGGTGTGGTCCTGTGTCAACACCCACCATGACCACACACCCAATGGCCACGGCCACACACACACACTTCGAGGTCAAACTCAATCCTCATGTGGCCCTCAATGAAATTGAATTTGACACCTCTGATATAGACACTAAGGTCTAGTTATTTCATTTATCCTCACCTTTCTCCTTTTCTCTGTTACTGTACAGGAGGAATGGGCTCCTTCCATGCTATGGTGAACTGTATGGTACATGTTGTGATGTACTTCTATTATGCACTCTCAGCTGCAGGACCTGCTTTCCAAAAGTACCTCTGGTGGAAGAAGCACATCACTGCCATTCAACTGGTAAGTAACAAAGGGAAAAAGATAGGCAAATTATGCCAGCATTTTTTATTCAGTTGTACAAACTATTTTTGGTCACTTCATCTGATTCTGTTTCTTTTGAATAGCTAATTACAGAAACTTGGTAACCTACCATATTTTTCAGAGTATAAGATGCATCTTTTTCCTTCAAAAAAGAGGCTGAAAATGTGGGTGGGTCTTATACACTGAATGCAGCATTTTTTGCCTCCCGAACCCCTGCCCCCTTCACCAAAATGGCCGTGCATAGCTTTAGGAAGCTTTCAGAGTGCTCCTGGGAGCTGGGGAAGGCAGAAATGAGCGAAAAATGGGCCGATTTTTGCTCAGTTTTGCCCCCAGCCCCAGGAGCACTCTATAAGCCTCTTAAAGGGTATTCATGCCCTTTTTTTGGCCAAAAAAAACGTTTTTGAGAGGTCTGCAGAGTGCAAAAACTTTTTTTTTAAAAATTGCGTCTTCAAAATCTTGATGCGCCTTCTACTCCGGTACGTCTTATACTCCGAAAAATACATTAATTTTATATTTGTTGCCTATTTTGAGTTTTCCCTTTTCTTCCAAGGATTATCCATCATTACCGTGTTTCCCGAAAATATGACATGTCTTGAAAGTAAGGCCATGCCATATTTTTCAGGTGGGCAAAAATATAAGCCCCCCCCCCAAATAAGCCCCCTTGACAACCCCCCCTCCGGCCAGGCAGAGCACTGCTCACCAACCTAGCGGTATCCCGAAGGCACCAAGCTATGGGAACCGGGGGGAAACAAAGGTGCTCGCGTTGCTTGGCGCCTTTGGGATACCGCTAGGTCGGTAAGCGGCGTTGTGCCCAGCTGGAGAGGGGGTTTGCTGGGCGGCTGTTCCACTCCCCAATCGCGCGCCTCCCAGCCTCATGATGCCCTGGCACAGCTTCACTGCGTTCCTTGCTGCTACCCGTTGCTTTTTAAAGGAACAGCGGGGAAGGGAAGCAGGCAGGCAGCTGTAACCGTTGGGGGTGGAGATGTTGGGCCCTGAGGCGCGCCTCTTACCTTTCTGGCTCCGTTGCATTCCCCGCTATGAGTTCAACTGGTGAGGGTTTTTTTACAAGGGGCTTTCCTGGACGAAATGACAAGGAACGCAGCGGAGCTGTCAGCCTCTGGTAGCAGTAGGACACGCATCTCGCTTCTCCCCCCCCTCTGCTACCCCTCGCTAAAGGGACGTCGGGAAAGGGAAGCAGGCAGGCTCCCTTTACCATTGGGGCGGGGTGGGAGGTGTTGGGCCACGAGGTGTGCCTCTTACCTTTCCGGCTCCGTCGTGGTCCTTGCCATTGTGTCCAGGGAAGCCCCTGATTAAAAAAAAACCTTCTCACAAGGTCAAGAAATTTGATAGAACTCGCAAGAAGGGTTCCTTTTTTACCAGCGGCTTCCCTGGCCACAATAGCGAGGAACACAGCGGGGCTGGACAGGTAAGAGGCCCGCCTCGCTTCTCCTCCACCCTCTGCCACCTCTCACTAAATGGACGGTGGGGAAGGGAACCAGGCAGGCTGCCTTTACCATTGGGGTGAGGTGGGTGGGTGGCGTTCCGTCATGGTCCTCGCCATTGTGTCCAGGGAAGCCCCTGGTTTAAAAAAAACCCTTCTCGTGAGTTCAAGAAGTTTGATTGAACTCACGAGAAGGTTTTTTTAACCAGTGGCTTCCCTGGACACAATGGCGAGGAGCATGACGGAGCTGGAAAGATAAAAGGCATGCCTCACTTCTTGCCTGCCCCAGAAAATAATAAGCCCTCCCCCTATAATAAGCCCAAGGCCATATTTCGTGGGGCAAAAGAAAATAAGACCCTGTCTTACTTTCGGGGAAACATGGTACCTGTGAGTAGAAGCTCCAACTGTCATCTTGATTTATTTCATCAGTGCCTTGTTTCTCTTTCTAGCTGCAGTTTGTGATTGTCTCCATCCACATCTCCCAGTACTACTTCATGCCTGACTGCAAATATCAGTTCCCAATCTTCATCCACCTCATCTGGATTTATGGAGTTATCTTCTTCATTCTCTTCTCCAACTTCTGGTACCAGTCATATACCAAAGGCAAGCGTCTACCCAAGTTAATGGCACAACCTCAGCAAAACGGCTTCCACGAGAATGGTGCCATTGCTAATGGAAAAGTCAAAGCCAACTAGGGGTGGATTCAATTAGCCCCATATCTGGGCTTCTTAACCAGATCAAGTGCCTACAGACTGTTATCTTGCAGTTCCAAACCACCTTCCCAACTGCCCTGTTTCCCTTGTTGCCTCGCTTTCATCTTTCCCCAAAGGAGACAGGCTGCCTGGGCTGTCGGTGCTGAATCCAGCCCAAGGCCTCCAAAGTGCCTATGTCTGCCCTGGGCTGGGCTCCCTTCAGAGCTGGACCAAAGCAGAACCCTGACAGATGGGACACATTTATCCACTTAATTCTACGTACACAATGTGATCTAGGTGGGGATTTTTGTTCCTTTGCTCTCCCTACGTTTGTGTTGTCATTTATTAATTCTGTTTATTTACCGTTGGTATTCTGCCATTCCTAATCCTTTCCTACTTGAATGTAAGTAGTCCCTTTTTGCTGGGGGTGGGAAATAATTCCTCCTGGAGATAATTTTTCCTGCTCTGTGTGCAGATGGGGTACTACTAGGCAAGTCTTACTGCCTTGGCTGTATTCCTCTTTTGGCATTGCTCCTCAGCTTTGGCTGCTTTGATCCCAGGACCTTAGCAATAACTCTGGACTTCAATCTCCACATGGCTTGATGACTGCAAGCTCTTATTGCACTGAGGCCCAGGGAAAAGAAATAGGACCCTGTTGTCCAGCTTGTATGCCATTGCTCTGTGTGCCTTTTAAAACATTATTGAATCTTTCCCGAAGAACAGAGGCTCCCTATTATCTAAATTTGGGGAGGACTTCTCAAGAGGAGGTATATCCCTCCTGAATTTTCCATTTGTATTCACAGAAATAAATGGATAGAAAGAGAATAGTCATTCTGTTCTTGATTTCAAGGCCTTGATGATTGTTTGGTTGGGCCTGATGTGCGAAAAGAACAACTTTACTGTAAGTAGTATGTTAGTATTGTTTTTCAGTTCCAATGACTACTGCTTCTTGCAGTGAATTGGTATCTTACTTAAAGTTGGTTTACTAGATGAGAGGAGCTGAAAAACTGAAATCAAAGTCCTGTGAACCGTTGCAATAGAGTGGTGGCTATGTTCTGGCTCATCTACAGTGCATGGTGTCAAGCATCAGATTATTTCTGCTCAAGAACACAGGAATTCAAATTTTACTAGTTTTCTGGTCCATAGAATACCTTCCTTCAAAGTTTAATACAGCATTTAAGTCCTTGACTCCTGCTTGTCCTGTCTGCTATTCCAGGCAGGACAGTGTTAGTTTCTTTCTCTTCTTATATGGACATTCCTTCAGATGCTTTCCTTTTTGCACTGGTTTAGAATCTTGTTGAAGCTCCAGCTGCTGGGCATTATCCTCCTGGGCTTGAAAAGACCTGTAGTCCTTGGTGCTATTGCCTATGGTCTGGTTGAGTGTGATAAGTGGAAAAGCTACAAATACTGTGTGTGGGGCGTGCAAAATAATTCTGCAATAGAATGAATTGGAAAAGTAATCTTAGTAGCAGATCTTAGATCTGTATTGCATCCTAAATTCAGAGTGCCAAAATATGAAAGCAAGGATATATTGGCAAATATAAAAAGCTAAGGCACTAAGAATACCTTTTATGTTGTTAGAATAAACTTGTATTGGTCTCTCTACCTCAATGCTAGGGGTAGACTAACCCAGACTCTAGATTATGTGCCATAAACATAATCTAAACATAAACATGTATATACTATTGGAGAGATTTGTATAACCCAGAATATTTTGATACATTCACTGGCCATTCTGAAATAAGGCAATCTTGTTTAAAAGCCTTTAAGCTAAGTTCATTGTTAGTTTGAAATAGGTTTTGTAACACTATTTACCTTTCCACCGCTGATTATCCTGCTGTGTACTGTTTCCCAACCTGTGTCTGAGAAATCCTAAACCAACGCTAATGGCAACCTTTAAAACTGATACCATGTTTGACTGAGAAGCTTTTACAATGTAGGGGATACTTAGGGGTACAATTTGGAAAAAAGTAAAAGATACTTGTTTGTTCTCCTATATGTGTGCCTGCTCTCAACATTTTTTGCTGTACTTATATTTGATGATAATCATGCAAGGGTGATGAAAAATCAATGTGATACTGTTCCCAAATTAGACAGTATTTGGGATACCAAATTAGACCCATTCTATAATGCTCTTTTTTGTAAACCTGAAGTAAATTTCTGTCCTACGAATCATTGGTTCGCATGAAATCTAATGAACAAACCTTTATGGAGTTATTTTTTTTCAGCGTTTTTACAAGTGCTGGTTTTAGTACTTTTCAGTCACATAACATTCATATTACCCTAGTATCTTTCTGATGTGGTGCATTTTTGAATAGCCATGTGCCTTCTAAATAGGATATAGTTAACTGCTCTAAATTTTGAGTGATTATCTGCAGTTTTCTGAATGAGTAGGTATCAGAATTGTTTGCTTAGACTACCGGTAGTTAATAAGGCTTCAATATAATCTCCATTAGCTTGCTACAGCCTGGTGTAGACATTCAGATAATCCTTGACTTACAAGTGCAATTGGGATTGATTTATGGTCATGAATTGTCATATTGTAGGTGAAGGCACCCCGTGACTGTACCCAATTTTACATTTTTGTGATCATTAAGTAAATCACTGTCAGTATACAAATCGTTAAGTGAACAGTGTAGTCAAGTGGACCTATTCCTCTAAACGTTTTTGCAGGAAATATTAGCAAACTGTGATCACGATTGTGATCATATATGTCTTATGAAAAGAGTCATGTGACTTTAAGGCTGTATATGGCATATTTTATGATGGGGAGACATGCTTAACAGGCTGTAAAGAACCCATTCTAGGCCCGTTGTATTTTCAATCTTAAATCAAGGACTACCTGTATGAAATCCAAAAGAGAACTCTATCACATATGGGAAGAGAAGTGTTTACATCTTCTTGGGCACAAGCAACTTCACTTAGTTACAACTATGGATAGATTTCATAATATAACTGTAGTAGGCTACACTTCAAACTAAGCCTGAATATTAATGCTTTATTTGCCCTAATGATGGACCAACTCCTGAATATTAAAATGTATTTTATTCATGTAATATGAATTATCTTACTGCATCGTTTTATTTATTAAATTTGTACACTGGCCGACTCCCAACCAATTGTCAAAATAGTTAACTATAGTTTTTATCTGCTAAAATGGCAATTGTCTAATAACCTCCACTGTCATTTTGATTACTTAGAACAGATCATTTTCATCATTTTTTTCGTAATACCCAAGAATCATGGAAAAGTGCCAGTGCTTGGCAAAGATGAGCTGAGGCTAACATTGATCTTGATTAGGCTTGGCTTTTCACAACTTCCACTCAATCAGAAGGCAATAAAATCATTTGTAGGACTGTTCGGATTACAGGTGATTTGATTGAGGTAAAAAAACCCACAGTAGGCCAAATTCACTCACCAGCATTTGGGATATTGGAATGCCTTTAAAAGAAGTGCAAGAAATAACAAAGAAGCAGAAGGATTAACTCTCAGGATAAACTATTCCATAACTGCTGAATAGTTTTGGAAAAGCAGTCTTAAATATCAGAACACAAAGTTCAGTAAAATCACCGGGCTCAGCTAAGTAAATTTGCAATATCTATCTGTTTGGTAAGGCAACAATAGTTTGCAAGCAAAATTACTAGTTACATATTTCCCAATAAAACTATTGGTCCGTAACAGGATGTTGCATCTGGAGGTTGATAAACCATCACAATCATCCTACATAGTATGCGGGTTTTGCATCAGGTGCATGAGGGTACCAGCTTCAATTATAACTTGAAAACATACTTCAAATCCCAAACTAATATTTCAGATTAACTCTCAATTCTGAAACCTACAGTGATCTGTCCCACAACTCAAGAGGGGTGGAAGAGGGAAGCTAAATTGTTCCTCAAAAGTCAAGAAAAGACCAAACCAAAGACAGTTTTCCTAGTAATAAAGCTGCCAGAGTGATTTAGAGAAGGAAAATTATTGGTTGTATCAGGAGGAGAGTCTGGTCTTTATTTTTCTTCAATAGATAGTTTATTTTTATTACAATAGTATGCAAGCCAAGTCCTAGCAAACAGCCAATATCGATTAAAGTCATTCACACCATTTGTGATTCATATATCAATCCATATACCACTATTTCTAAAGGAGAGCAAAATATTTATTAATAGTTTAAAATTCTGTACATAAAGCAATAGATTGGAAGGGAGTTGGATGAAACTCAGCGAATTCCTTGATGGATAATGCTGGTTTTAGTACTGCTCTCTTTCTCCTTCTTACGTGCTGGATCCAACTCAAAGCAGCGCCAAAGCCTCAGTGTTTCATCTGCTGCTGCTGAAGCAACTGTGGTTCCATCTGGGCTCATAGTTAAGCTTAGCACCCTAGCAGTGTGACCTAAGGAAAGATATTTTACAAATGACTGTAAATGATAGTTGGTAATCTATTCAACTTGGCATAGGCATTTTTCTTTGTGGAATAGTGCACCATAACCTGTAGATTAAACTAATCCAACCCAGGAAAAGCAATCATTTTGGTCACTGGCACATTTGTATTTAGGAGCAAAACAAAAAATCTCACACCTTTACAAAAGAGCTGCTACAGCGAGCACAACCAAATTTAAAACATCAATTTACCAGGCAACAAAATAGCCCTTAGTATGCAGTCTATCCCTGAGGGAAGTTTGTTGGGCTCAAAAGACAATTTTGTAAGTATGTTTAAGATTTGTGCTGATGTCAGTGTCCTGTAATTGTATAAAAAACTTTAAAAAGTGAGACAGGAATGCCATTGGGCGTCAGGAGGGATTATTGGTACACATTGATGTTCATGGGCTCCTTAGTACGTTCATTGATGTAATTGCAGTTTTTTTCACAATGGGTTTTACCTTTCAACTCAGTAACCTTTGACATAGATGGGTATTTCCACACTACCAGCTGGTTTTGAGCAAACCCGTGACCAGACACAAGTTCTTTATAGTTTGTAGACCATAGTACTGCACAGACCTATTAACACCAGAAAAAATGTCCAATAAGTAAAATATTGACTGGATATAACCTTATGTGGAAAAAATGCAGCATGTTAAAGTATTGAAATAATCATTACCTTTCTTTGAAATGTATTAAGCAAACCTACCTGAGACTGTGCATCTACTGTGTTGAGGCAACTCCCAGAGCACACATTCCAGATCCTTATGTGGCGATCACTTGTTCCGCCTCCTGTAGCCAGCACATTGGATTGCCATGGACTCCAAGCCACAGCCTAAGGGGAAAATGTAGTTGTCACCATTCTCTGTGATTAGAAATACTGTGTTTGCAAACTATAGATAGTCTTCATTTTTGCAGAGGCAACTGGGCCATTAAGCAAAGAGATTGCTAAGTGAAATTGCAATTGTGCTTATGGTCTTATTCAGTTTTCCTTTGTTTTATAGACCTGTGAAGATTGTAAAGTTACTTTTTCATTACAGTCATAACTACAAATGGTTGATAAATGAGACAATTGCTAAACAAGAACTACCTATCATTTAAGAAGATTTATTAAAATGGATCATTTTAATTTGTCTTGGTTACTTTACAAGCTATTGTCACACTTATGCGGACAGAACTTAAAAGTGGCTACCATTCTGGACTTTAAAAATCACATCTACAATCAAGATTTGTTTACTGCATTACAAATTCCAGTTTCCAAGAGAACCTAAATTGCCATGGTTTGAATTCAGACCACTGTAAGCTGTAGAACTTGGTTAAAGAGCTACCCAAATGACCATTAATTGAGCTTTATACCATATAATTTTGTACCAAGATGTTGTCTACTCTCTAAATACAGATATGTACTCACCTTAACAGCTCCCTGATGTTGTGTAAAAGTTTGCACAGGACGTGGTGACCAGCTGTCCCCTTGAGCAACAGACCATATGTTTACAAGATTGTCATTGCCTCCACTGGCCAAGTAACGCCCATCAGGTGCCCATTTTAGCCCACATACTTCTTGTGTATGGCCAGCAAGTGTTGCCACATGGTGTTCTGCCACACGGACATCATGATGATGTATGTGACCAGTCCGTGATCCGCTGTTAGGGAAAATTAGCATATTCTCCTATATCAAATGTATCAGAAGACCAATGTAATATATTTTCTCTTGACTATGAAAAATTATAAGCCACGTGGCCTCTTCCCCATCAGTGACCATGAAATATATTGCTTAGAAATTATTACCTGGACAGGATGTAGTTATTCCAACTTAAAGAACTCACACGGGATGAATGACTGACCATATTCCGTAGACGCTTTTTCTGCTGGATGTCCCATAACTAAATCAATATAAACAGAGTCCAAATACCCAATCTTATTCATTTTTATTGTCTGATGGAATACAACCCAAATGAGAAAATGCACAAGGCTGTCCCACTTATTATGAACCTATTTTATCTCAGATATGTAGAAATGAGAAATCAATCAAATCATGGCCCTAAGGACTATCAAAGGAAGCAGCTTATAGTTTTCCAATCCAAAGTGTAACAAGCCCATATTGGTTTAAAAATCAAATATCTCTCAGAGGTTTCCCTCCAAAAGAGAACTTAACTTGCTTTGATATTAAAAGATTTTTTTTATTCTCTGTCCCATTATCAGACTATTGGGTCATTAAATACAGCCTCAGTTACCTCACCTGGACCTCGGCATTACTTGTGCCAATTGCAAGGTAATTTCCTTCTCTGATCCATGAAACAGAAGAGATGTAGTCATCAGGGTTTTCCATTTGCATGAGCTGGATTATTTCTCTGGAATCATAATTCCATAGATATACTGATTTATCCAGAGCCACGGCCAAAAAGTTGAGGGAGCTCCAATCAACTAAGTTCAGATCTAAATGAGAACAATACACAGTTTGGAAACGCAAAGCCAAGTCAAGTCAAGATGCAATCTTTTCCTACCTCTCCATGGTAGCCATATCCAATACAATATGGGGGCATAAGAAAGCTGTAATATGGCAGAGGAGATCGGTATCCTCTGCACTTTGGAACAAAGTCTCACTAAAATTGAACTCCAAATCCATAGTTACTTACAGTAATCATTTCGAATGTCTGGGGCATCTAGAATCCGCTCCGACACAGAGGCTATGTATCTGTTTACCTTCCTTGTGGAGCCTGGTGTGCTCTTCTGGCTATAGAGCACTTTGAGATTGTTCTGGTATCCTGGAAAAGAGGTAACATAATTATCAGCATAAATCAAGAAAAAACTCAAATGTTCCTATAATTCCAAGCTAACCAGTTAATGAAAATTTTGGGAAATGGGACACTCAATTTAGAGGGTACTAGCTGGATTTCTTTCAATAGAGACATCAACCTTAACATATCCAAAAGGTAATACGTTAGAGAAGAATGTAAGAGAGTTCATTTTCTAGGGCAGTGAAGGATTGCACTATGAGAATGTTAAGTTTTGTTCTTCTTTTAAAACAAGCTGAACATAAACTAATTCAAATTAGCATCGCTGCTGTTATTCAGAAAATTAAAAAGGGCATTTTTTTCCAGTTTGGTTCTAAATAGCAACTTGAAACAAATAAATAAAAAACAAGTTTGTAAAAAAGTCTCTTGCTTGACTTGATTAATTCCCATTAAAACAAAACAGCAGAACAATCAATTTGAATGAACTGGATTATGGACCACTGCTGCAATACCAATTTGAAAACCAGCTATTACTGATAGGAGCTTTTATCCACAAGGGATGCATCTGGAAATCCACCATGCACTTCACTTTTCAATTTACTCTTGTGTTGAATAAGCCCAATGCAGACTTACCTTCAGGGGCATTCTGAGGTTTCCCACTTAGTCTCAGGATTTTTGCCTCTTCTACATCAAAACCATTAAGATTCATTGCCCAGGCTTTCTGATGCTCCTTAAGAGGGGGGGAAACCACTAAGAAATCAATAATAATGTACTTGATCACAGAATTCAGTAACTACAAATGTGTGTGACCATCACTGTACCAGACATTTAATCTCTTTACCTTCTTGGTGGGTGTCTCCTCAGAGGATTCCTCTTTGGTTAAGAGAAAATTGGCCACATCCATTTGCATAGCACTACGATTAGGGATGTATCGATCACCTCCAGTTTTGTTTGGAGTATTTTGTGATTTGGAACCAGACTTGCCTGCAAAACAGAGGTTTCATTAATCTGTATCCCCTCAGATAATTCCTAGCCTGAAAGCAAGATTCCTTTATTGCTTTCTCACAGTGTCATTAAGATAAACATCTTAATGTTTATCTCCAGCACTGGAAAACAAATTGGACAATAGAAGAGAACAAAGAGTTAGAACTTCATGTCTGATTTCATCATAGTGATCTACATACTGGTTATAACACATATCTTACCTGGTGTTTTGGAAGGAGTCTTGCTGGTACTATGAGGCCTGTTAGCTGGTTTCATAGGCGAAGGAGCTATGGCATCTGAGGCAGCTCCAGTGCTGGGAGCAGCGGCATCCTTGGCCTTACGCTGCCATCGTGCAGGAGGCACATTTGGTATTGGGGCATCAAGTTTCAATAGCCCGTGCAAATCACTCTCAAACAGAAACTGTGCCATAGGGACGCAGTGCTGTGAAATCAGAGCCAGGGAAGAAAAGGTAAGTTGATCTCAGATAAGGAGAGTAAGAGCAGAACATCAGATAAATGGATTCAACCACATCCAGGGATAGCTTATAGGTTACAAATCTTATTCCAGAATAACAAACTAGATAAGATTCAGGTGACTAATGTGGCCCTTACAAACACAAGTGGCAAGAAAAGGCCACCCGCCTTTTCTTTAATATTTCGCTTCCCCCCCCCCCCAAAAAAAAAAAATCTGGGCGAAAATAGCTCAACAGGATGGAGCTGTCTTTCTACAACTGTTTAATTTCTGGAGTTTTAACCAGGAAACGTATCGCAATAAGACGAAATAGTCTTATAGTATTTTTCTCTTACTGCGATAGGTTTGCCGATTCAAAGCAGCACGCTTTCTTCCTTATACAATTTCCGGGTCTGTTTCTGGCACTGGGGTGGGGGGGGTGGGGGAACAACTCGTGCACGGCGGCAGAATACATTGCAAGAGATATTGGGCAGAAAAGCTAAAGGATGGGAAGAAATCGAGAACCAGAAGAAAAACAAAATGCTTTTAGGATCCTAAAAAAATCCGGGTCGGCGGAACCTCTTACTTACCACTGCTCTGACTCCAACTCTTCCGGCTCCTTCCGCCATTCAGAATTTAAACTTCCCACTTTGATCAACTATTGGCCCATTTCGAACTTAACGTCCGCCTGATGACTTACGGCTTGCCCGCCTTCCTTTACTTTCATTGGCTCTTGAATGTAAGTGGGCGTGGCTTTGCTACCCAAAGTTTCCCTGGATGGTTAGTTGTCTGGGATGGTTCCTTTATGATTTACATTGTCGTAACGGGCGGAAGTGGCGTGCAGAAGGTGTTGCCGATGTTCTGAACGGGATGGGGAGGGGAGGGGAAGCGTCTCCATGGCGCTTCACGCTATAATTAAACTATTCAACGTTCTCAAATCTAAAGCAAACGGCTTTGGCTCGATGCTTAGCGAAAGGCAGGTCAAACGGAAGCCGCAAGTTACATTAGGATAGCTTTTTATTTGATTGCTAAGTTTACATTGGTGTAACTGCAAAGCTTTCTGCTTAAGCATTTTAGTTGTAGAAATCGGAAAAAAGATTATATGACCAGAAAAGAGTGTTCGTAAAGCTAATGGCAAGATTTATGGAAACAGACTCGTTTTTTATGAGATTCGTTACACAAGACAATACTGCACATCCTCTCAGATAAGCCTCACTGGATAGTGGAGCTCACCTGCGCTCAGGTTGTGGGTCTCCAGCCTTAATTGGGTTGCAAGAAATCTACATTTTTTTTTCCAGTTTTCCAAGGAATGGAGCAATGTCCTAAAATGGAGACCTATAATAGATTTTTAATTCAGAAAGTCAATTTGTTCAACTGGTGGGTTTGTTGTTGTTGCTGTTTTGGTGACCAATAGCATCAGCATCTGCACCCTCTATTTACAGGAAAGATCTAAATAGGTAGTATCTACAGGAAAGAAGCTGTTTAGCAAATACAGTTTGACCTCAGCTATTTGAAAAATGGGTTCTGACAAAAAGTCCTCTGAGGCGGATGCCCTGCAGTCCTTCAGATGTTGCTGAATTATTTCCAGGGTGCTTTTGCTAGCAGGGTTGATAGAGAAGCTGAAAGTTGTAGTTCACCAACTATAGATGAACAAGGCTTATTACTTGCTATATGTTACTTTTTAAAGCCTTATTCTTACAAAAATGCTCCATCTTTTGCCTTTTGTGCTTTGATTAGTTCATTTGATACTTCTCTTAATCTTGGATGCATTTTTCAAAATTCATTTTCAAAGATTTCAATATAATCTGGGAGTTCTGGACTCATGACTGCTGTTCAAAGAGCAGGTGGCAGTCTTGACTAGGAGAACCAGAGGTGAGTTGCTGCCGATTCGGCCTGGATTGGCCGAACTGGTAGTGGCGGTGGGATGCTCAGCCCACCCACATGAATCAGTAGTAAGGAAGGAAATTGGCAACCCACCTCTGCGGACACCCTTTGTGCAAATGCAGGTTTTGTGCCAGTTATGCCCTTTCCTGGACCAACAATCCCTGCCCATAACCACCTCCCTCCCGTGCCCTAGTCACCTCCCTCCCATCTTGACAATTGAAACACCCATGAAAAATATCCAGAAGCTTCAGTTGGTTCAAAATGTGATGGTGTGCATGGTTTGGTGCAGGCCTAGATGTGCATATGTGTCCTCATCTATGGGAGCTGCATTGGCTGCTGATTTGCTTTGGGGTCCAATTCAAGATACTGGTTGTCACTTCAAAGGCCTACATGGCTTGGGACCAGGTTATGAAGGGCCATCTTTTCCCAATCAAATCTACTTGATCCACCAGAGCATGAGGGCAGGGAATGCTATGGGTCCCCTCTCCTAAGGAAGTACATCTAGTGGAACCAAGAAGGGCCTTTTCCATGGTTGCCCTCTCCTTGTGGAACATCATCCCCACAGAGGTGATTGGTTCTCTCTTTGACACTCTTTAATAAGACATGGCTTTGCCAATGGGCCTGGAACCCCAGAGGGATACAGCCCATGAAATGGCTTATTTGATTGTTTTTGCCAGGAAATGAGGGGTTATTGCTTTTTGAATGCCTTTGATTGGTTTTACGTTGGTTTTTTTACCTGTATATTCTTAATAAGTACATTTCTGCGACAACTCCACTGGAGAAATTTAAGTTTATTTGTTATTATATTAGATATAATTGCCATTGTTCTAACAGAATATATCTTTACACAAGGAAAATGGGAATACTTACAATATGCAGTCTCAGATCCCAGTTTCTTTTCTTTCCTTGCTTCAACCTCTCCAAGCGATGAGAGAGTACATTTATATTCAATATAACATCTTCAACTTGGCATTGGAATTGGCATCTCCAAATCTCTACCTGATATTTTATTATAAAAGTGATATATACAGTGACACCTTCAAATAGCTGCCATTTGTATTTTTCCCTGTCAGAACAGTTTTGCTTTCTTCAATATATGGCAGGTGGCTGTGTTCATTCCATTGACTACAACACTGATTCAGCTGTCTATTTGCTTCATTCAAAAACACCCTTTGCTTTGGTCCTTTCTGTGAACTTTCTACTTATATAAGTAGAACTTATGTAAGGACCTCTGAAGCTTTATGTTAGTTTGACCCAAAGCACTTCTGAGGAGCCCAGGAATCTCTGCCATTAATTGCTGTATTATACATCTCATGCACTTAATTTGCTTGCTACAAGGAAGCATCAGAACAGAAGTACTTCTTGTTCTGGCTAGAATAAGCCAACATAATTTACTTATCCTTTACTCCATGGGTGATTCCATTAAATATTGGATTATCATCCTTTTAAAGCAAAATGGATTTTAATAGGTTAGTGAAACCTCTTGAGATGGTAAGAAGTGCTTTTTAACATTACAAACTGTAGTAAATGAGTGCTGTGTTAATACCTAAATTTGATCCTCATGAAAAAAACTTCATTTAACTACCATGAATTACAGCAGTTTCATTATTCAAATAACATTACATTTGTTTACAAGCAATCATGGCAATGCAAATAGTAATAGCGAATCCTAATCTGTACAAGACAGTAGCAATGTGTGCCATACTTAAAATAAGTGAAATAAATCTATTATTATAGTGACCTAACTTAGAGATAAGAGTGGTGCTTATCTCACAAATTGTATTTTTGTGCTCAGCATGGTATATTTTCTATTTAGCTCTATTTCTGGTTATGCTAAGCAGGTGTATTACTATAACCCTTTCATCATTTCCATAAAACATAGTTTGCATGTTTCTTCAAAATGGAAAAAGAATTTAAAATCTAGCTTTTTTTTAAGATGACATACAAATCACTGGGACTCAGTTGAAGAATCACTTTGCTTTTGGAGATCTGTGGTTACCAGATGCAATGTGGACATGTCTTGAGATAAAATTCCACATTCAACTCCACAACACTATTCAATGCCTGGGTTGATAATTTGAGGGCACATATTCTCAAATCCTTTGGCAGTACCCATGGTACCTTCAGCCATCTATCAGAATTTGGCAGTATGATTGCCTGCCATTCTGAAATGAGAAACACAGAAACATTGTAGTGTAATTTTTTTCCACTTTCAAACCAAAGTGAGTCCTGTCTGAGTACAGTTCTAGTCACTTTCCATCGTTGCCTTCCAAAAATTCAAGGTAGCTTTAGGCCATGAAAAACTGCCCAATCTGCTCTAGTACAATCAGCTGCTAAATTCAGTTGGTCTATAAGAAACAGATTTGAAGAGTACTGGCTAAACAGATGCCTTACAATTGAAAATTGTATTGTATTGTATACAAACTTCCACAGGCCTAATAATTTCTCATAGAGCTATCCTCTAATGATAGACACAATCAGCCCATTAGCAAATATGTCTGGTTTGAAATGTCAGTGACAGATGTGTTTTGGTCATCAGAAATTTCCTGCCTTCTTTCTTCTTTAATCTCTGATAGTACATTCAATAAGGTGAAAGGAGTTATTTGCGTCATTGACTCTGAGGTTACACTTAGATCATGTTCCAAGGATTGTGGGAAAGCATTTCCATTATCATTTGTGTCATCAAAGTATTCATTTTCATGGTGGCTGCTTTGGGGATTATTAGAACTCAGCACCATGTAGTGCTGATGGGTAGAAGGCTGGCTGCCCCATTCTGCCTGTTCCGCTGAACTCATATCTAGCAAAGGGTCAAAGCTGGTTGTTTCCAGGGGTTTCTCAGATAGTACTTCCAACAAGCAAGTCAAAGGCACATCCTCCAACATTTTATTGCAAAATAAAGAGTTTACCTAAAAGTTCAGAAAGAAACAATCAGAAATTCAGAAGGCCCTCTGCATTATTCCCTCCCTCCCTGACATTCACTTTATGGGAATATGCTTGAAATAATGTGAAAGACAAGGAAATAGCACTGGGTACTCTAACTAAGAAAAGATAAAAATGAACAGTTTTACCCAGAATTTAGCATGTACTGTACTCTGAATAAGGGGTACTTCTAGGCAGTGATGGGATACAATCAGTTTAACAACTGGTTCAATAATTGATTTTTGAAAGTGCAGCATTCAAAAAGTGACCTTTTAAAGCTTCAAAACTTGCCTTCTATAGAAGTGCCTGTGAGTAAAACAGCTGATGTGCGGCAATCAAATCAGCTGAGCTTAAAAAACAGGGAAATATAGGACAGGAAAGCGCAGAGGCGGAGGGGTGGTGGTGGCAAATGCTCATTGAAACTACCAGTTTGTCTGAACCGGCTGAATCCCATCCCTGCTTCTAGGCACAAGCTAACTTTACCTCATTTTATTTCTGTACATAATACTGTTTCTATCATCACATAATCACAGTTCAGAAATTGGATGGGACTGAAAAAGTCTGAATCTTGGAAAAGTCAGATGAGAAATGGTTTTGCTCATATTATTCCTGAAATCTGGAACAGATGCCCACAGAATGATGCAAGTTTCTTACAAAAAAAGTATATCGGAAGGAGCTAAAAACCAAGAGTGTTCTTCTTTTCTAGTCAAAAGACAGCCTAATTCTTCTTCTAATGACATACTGCATTAGAAGTAATACAATAAAAAGAAAGTCTCACCTGCTGCTGCTTGTCATTATCCTTGAAGAATCCATCTAGGACATGATGTAGGTCTGGAATCTCTGGCCAGAGCTTTTGTTTCACA